AGGGATATTTGTTGGTACTGAAAGGAATAGGCACAGTTAAAGACTTACAGGTAAATGTATTTGTTCCCATTTTAATGAGGGGGAAATGATTATTTCAGGCAGCTGAAATATATGTTTCCCCACCTTTAATTTTTGAAAATAATGATCAAATGTCACCAAATCCTCAGGGTTCATGGTTTGTGGCAACAAGAAAAAGCACAGTTAAAGACTTGCAGGGAAATGATTTTTCCCCCAGTATATGGAGGGGGTACTGACTAATTTAGGCAGCTGAAAAATATGGTTCCGCTCCTTTAATTTAGGCATTTAAAGCGTAAATATCACCAAATCCACAGGGTTTGTTGATGATGAAGACAGGAATAAACACAGTTAAGACTTGTAGGTAATTGAATTTCTTTCCATTTTATGGAGGGGGCGCTGACTAATTCAGGCAGCTGAAATATATGGTTCCCCTCCTTTGATTTTGACAAACAATGATCAAACGTCACCAAATTTACATTTTTTTTTTGTTTTGTTTTTTAAGGGGAATAAGCAAAGTTAAAGACTTCTAGATAAATGAATTTGTTCCCATTTTATGAAGGGGGAACAGATTATTTCAGGTAGCTGAAATACATGGTTCCCCTCCTTTAATTTTGGCATTTAAAGAGTAAATATGACCATTTCCACACGGTTTGTTGTTTGTGAACAGAGAAATAAGCACAGTTAAAGACTTGCAGGTAATTTAATTTGTTCCCATTTTATGGAGGGGGAACTGATTATTTCATGCAGCTTAAACATATGGTTCCCCTCATTTAATTTCGCAAATAATGATCAAATGTCACCAAATCCACATGGTTTTTTTGTTGGTTGTATGAGGAATAAGGAAATTAAAAGACTTGCAGATAAATTAATTTGTTCCCATTTTATGGAAGGGGGAACTGATTATTTCATGCAGCTAATTTTTGCAAATAAAGAGTAATTACCAACAAATCCACAGGATTTGTTGGTAATGAAGAGAGGAATAAACACAGTTAAAGACTTGCAGGTAAATTAATTTGATTCCAGTTAATGGAGGGGGAAATGATTATTTCAGGCAGCTGAAATATATGGTTCCTCTCCTTTAATATTAGCAAGTAATGATCAAATGTCACCAAATCCTCAGGGTTTGTTGTTGGTGAAGAGAGGAATAAACATAATTTTCAAAGATACGGCCGGTGCTATTGATTCAATCATTCCCGCTAACGGACCTAATTGCGGATTGAATCAGAGAGCCGCAGAATCAGCAGAAACTAAAGAGGTTCACATGATAGGAGCTCTACACAGGGATATATTTTTCTGTGAAAGACTTTTTGAATTCTGTTGATATGAGAATTAAATTAACAAGAGCCAGCGATGCGTTTTGTTTAATGGGGGCTCGTGATTCTACTTTTCGACTAAAGATGTTAGGGGTTTCTCTATTTGTGAAAAAGGTTTCCGTTTCTCCCACCATATGCTTAGGTCACACTTTGGCGTTGATAGGCAGTATTTCGCTTTATCCGTCGTTGAGAGTTAATGTGAAGACGTTTTCTATCCCAGAAAATTCAAGAATTTGCAACCAAGAGAATCTATTTTTGGGGACCATACCTAAATATGTGGTACAGGGCTTCGTACACCATGAGGCCTTTACCGGAAGGAGAGATTTATCGCCCTTTCACTTCAGGCACATGAATTTAGAGTTTTTTGGCACTTTGCAGAGATGGAAAACAGGCTTTTCAACCCCAGGAACTCTGCGAGGGAATTTTACAGCATGATTACCTACACAGGTCATCATTTGAAAGATCATCCACTCTGCATCCCTCGACAGGACTTTAATAACAGATACACACTTTGTTTTTAATCTTAATCCGGGAGGAGATATCGAAGCCCTATCCCCAGTGTCTCACGGTAATCTGAGGCGGGAAATGTGCTTCAGAGAACCACTACCTCACACCTCTACACTCATTGTTTATGCCTGTTATGATTCTATACTGGAGGTTGGTTTTGGTGTCCAATCGAGCTCCACGGTGCCGGGCAGTGAGCACAGGGCCCACTAGAGGACGTCGGGCCCCCAGGCCACCCCCGTGAAGCCTGTTTCTGAGTGTTTGGTCAGAGACATTCACACCAGTGGCCTGCTGGAGGTCATTTTGTAGGGCTCTGGTAGTGCTCCTCCTGCTCCTCCTTGCACAAAGGAGCAGATAGCGGTCCTGTTGATGGGTTGTAGACCTTCTATGGCCCTGTCCTGCTCTCCTGGAATCTCCTCCATGCTCTTGAGATTGTTCTGGGAGACACAGCAAACCTTCTGGCAATGGCACGTATTGATGTGCCATCCTGGAGGAGTTGGACTGCCTGTGCAACCTCTGTAGGGTCCAGGTAGCGTCTCATGCTAACAGTAGTGACAGTGACCCTAGCCAAATGAAAACTGGTGAAAAAGAGCCAGAAAAGGTGAGGAGGGGAAAAAATGTCAGTGGCCTCCACCTGTAAAACCATTCCTGTTCTGATGGTCGCATCGTTGTTGCCCCTCTAGTTCACCTGTTGTTAATTTCATTAACACCAAAGCAGCTGAAACTGATTAACAACCCCCTCTGCTACTTACCTGACCAAATAAATATCCTAGAAGTTTAATTAACTTGATGCTATACTCTGATTACAAAGTGTTCCTTTAATTTTTTTGATTAGTGTATTTGTGCCCTGGGGCGAAAAAATCTTTGCCCAAAGACTCGTTGAAAGTTATCCATGCGCAGAAGCTCCTCTGCAATGCTAAAGGTAGGAACAGGACCCACAGCTGAAAGCAGCTTTATTTGCACACCACCTTCCACCACAGCACTGACGTCTAGTGTTAATTTCGTTAACGAAAACTAAACGAAAATATTTTCGTCAACGCACATTTCTCACCAAACGAAAACTAGAAGAAACGAGAAGACAAGAATCCCCACTAATTAACAATAACTGGGAGTAAATCAGAAATAATTTTCGTGGACTAATAAAGACGAGACAAAACTGCAGTTTGGTAAATAAAGACTGGACTAAAATCTATGGACATTTTAGTTCACGAACAAAGACGAGATGAAAATTACATATTATTAATATTTTATGGTTTTTTTCAAATCCTGTCTCCTCTTCTGCCACACACCCACTTTCAAACCTGGACCGGGCGGACACAGAGTAGCCTACACAACACATACACGGCGAGGCAGCAACAGGTTAAAAGTAAAACATGCTTTGCCCGGAGCTCGGGAGAAAGAGGAGACGTGATATATGGACACATTTTCACTTCACTGAAGTGGAGAACAAAACCAAATGCTTGGTTTTAGTTGAAGGGAAGGAATGTGGCCACATGGTAGCTGGAATTTATCAGGATAAGACTAAATAAAAATAATATGCCACACATAATTCAGAGCAACTTTAACCTAGATTTTCATACACAAAATAGCCATTGCTAGGGGAACCACTGCAGGGATGCAAACTCCCAATGTCTTTATTTGGTGACATAAAATGCTGCTCTGTTTATCTGCACATTACTATTACAAGGACATTTGATTTGAATTGGCATCAATATTAATACAACCAAAATACATATACACATAAAAATGTCTGCAATTTATTCCTGCATAAAATGATAGGTTGTTTGTATGAGATTGAAATGGATGGTCAAATGAAGTTTCTACAGAGACTTAGTTTTTGTTAAGGAAAAAAACAGACCTATATGCTACTTATACACTTGGAATTCCTGTTATGCTGCGCATCTATCCTGACATTGTATTAGTTTCTGTTCCAGATTGAAGATACACCACCACCAACAACCATCCAGAAACAATGACAGGCCAGCTATACAAGCTTCCTTAATTTCTGACACCAAATACAAAGCTGATTCTCAGGACTAGCAAGCTATGCCTTGTTTCACTTAAATACTGTACCTTTATATACCATGTGAACTAGCTGGCAGGAAAGCATTTTGTTGTATCAGTTGGAGATTTTTTTTCTTCACAACATTGACCTCAAATATATTTATTTTATTATTCTATGTGAACTAGCTTTAAACAGCCAGCACTTGTGTTAAGTTCATAAGACACTTTATTTATTTGTTTCCTTTGTCAGGTGTATTTTATTTGTTTTAATGCAAGCATTTGTGTTTGTGTCTTTGAACCTTAATGTTCAAAATAAATATGCAAATATTGTCAGAACATCTTCCATGTCTGCATGTGTTCCTTAAAATTGTGTTTTTTTTTAATCAAAAAGATGAGAGAAAATGTTGAAATGTGAAATAATTTTAGGAAATGTTAAATATTATCTGCTGACAAAAAAGTAAAAGGATAAAATTATGTCCTGACTAAAATGTTGACGGTTTTTGTTGACTAAAACTAAACAAATACAATTATGTTTTCTTGGACTAAAAAGCTCTGACTTATAGTCGACTAAAACTAGACTAAATAAAAATGGGATGATGTCGATTAAATGTGATAAAAACTAACAAGCGATGCTGAAACTGGACTAAAACTGAAACTAAATTTAAAAATGGCTGCTAAAATTAACACTACTGACGTCACAGTCATCCTTTCGAAAGTTCAGCTGCTTGTCAGGTTTATAGATTTATTTGGCTACAAGGCTTGGCTAACTGCATACAGCGAGGGTAATGCTTTATTCTGCTTACCTAGCAAGGGTTAAGGCAAGTATGACTGGTTTAAAGCACTTTTCAGAAAATTTTGTTTTCTTTTTGCCTTTGGCATTCATGTAAATATAGTGGTGTGATACCTTAGTATACATTTAAATGGTTCTTGGTATACTTCTCTGAAGTTATATCCATTGAAGTCTTTGAAGTTATATTGACGGCATCAAGTTCATATATGAGGGATACTCCCCTACTCTGCTGCACGTATAAGTGACTAAAACAAAACCTATTAAAAATATAAACTTTCTATGCTGGTCCAAGTTTCCACCTTAGTGGTAAGCTATTACAAGAATAAATTGTACCCATGTGTAAATCCTCCTCACCCTGGTATGAAGAGAACTTTTCACTTCTTAAAAAGAAAATATTTATTCTCCATAATATTACAACAATATCCTGGTAAAGAGTTACATATGTTCCATCTTCTAAAACTGAACATTGTATAGCAAAGGGGGACAACCATCAGAATCTGGTTATTCTGGCTCCAGTATCAAACTGTTCTGGACAAGAGGAAAGATCTCAATCTGTAACAGGAGGTTCCTCAGCAGAGATTTAACTTTGGGAAGCCTGCTGCATGATCACTGAACACAAACTTAGTATCTGCAGGTACTCGTCTGCACCGTCAGCAAGGCACTTTCCCGTAACCTGTAACACAGCAAGGAAAAAAATGAATGAATCCAAAGGAAATGATGATGGGTAGGACATATTATACATGAATGAGAGAGTGATCAGTGATCTTGAGATTGACATTAGTATAACTGATCCCTGGTATGTACTACTGATATATTTTGGTTGAGTCTTTGAACAGATATTGTCTTTTTCCTAATTTACATAATAAAAATGACACAATGATAATTGTTACACAAGTTGCAGATGTATTTTTTTTTACTATGATCTGTGTGTTTTTTCAACAGCAACAAAATAAGTAGGTATGCAGAACAGAAAGCTGATAAGGCACAATACATCTCTCACAGTTTTGAGTGTATGATTACGCTGCAAAATAAATCTAGAAGTCAAAGGCACAAGCGCCATTGGTTGGCCCTCGCAGCTCAGCGCCGCTTGGACTATTGCGGCCGCGGAAGCCAAGCACCATTTTCTCCTTGTCTTTTAAAGTTTTGTTTAATCAATGTAAAGCAATTAGAATTTCCATTGTACTAAATTGTGTCTTATGATTGGATGTAAAGAGAAAAAATGCCCCCCCAAAAACACATAAGTGGTCAAAGATGCAATTACATAATACTCAACAATTAAAAAAATAGTCATTAAAAATCTAGTCGTTATCTCCCTTTTATCTCCTTTCATCTTTTCTCCATTTTTTATGTTTTTCCTTTCCTGTTGTACGTACATTGCGTGAGCTGAGAGGACATGTCCTGTGAATTGGTGCTATATAAATTTAAATATAATTCATATCTAGTCGGTTAAACTTCTCGTTCGCTCTTCACAAAGATTCACTCCAATTAGACTCATGATGGGGATGTTCTGTCATATCCAGCCCAGGATCACTTTTCCAATGTAGTCCAATTTATGGCGCTTCATCTGGATGGGACCCTATAAACAAATCCTTCCCACCAACTGTGAGTGAATTCACGACTGTAAATACCAGATTCATGCATCAAAGCATCTGCTCTAAACAATGTATTTTTTCATTTTCTTTCTAGATTATTATTTTTGAATTATTTGTAAAATGAAGAAAAGTCCAATTATCTTTGTTAAGGAGTACAAACTTTCAACTAAACTAAAATGATAGTAAAAGAAAACTCTCACCGCCATCTTTTCTGCAATGGTTGACTTTTGCATGTCAGGGATGTCTTTTTCCAAGACACAGCTATGAAGCTGACTCAGGATCTGTGTTGCTGCGTAACCTTCATTCACCAGGTTCTAGCAAGGAAACATGATTATTATTATAATAATTGTTACTCCGATACAGCATAAAAACACAAACAGTCCTTTCAAAGAAAGCATTCAGTGTCAGCAGGTCATTGTTGAGAAACAACTTACCCTTACTGCAACTTCTAGCTTCTCAAATGTCCCTTTGAAGCAGATTTGGAGCAAATTATCGATCATCGTGGAAGGAACAACCTAGGAAACAGCAAACATTAGATCATCTTTTCAAATAGAAAGTACGTTTTGAAAACATTTGCTTAAAGCATCCATCCCTGCTTCATTCTTTACTGTTACTCACCCCTGCTATCTCAACGATAGCTTGCTCAGTGATTTCCTTGTGAGCGTTGAGACGGGCTGCACTCTGCAGGATTGTGATGGCTTTTCTCAGGTCCCCCTGAGAGAGCTGCACCAGCGCCGCAATGCTCTACATTAAAGCAAACCAAAACAGAAAGAAACATCCAACATTACTGAGGTTTTAGAGGGACTGGATGCAGAACATTTGAAGATGACGATAATTGGGTTAAAGCCCTGAACACACCAGTTGGGGACAACTTTTTTTTATACGATATTTTTTCCATTTCACACTAACTGCATATAAGGTAGAGACTGACACTGGAGTGGAATTTCACTCCTGTCCCGTCACACTCCCACAGAAAAAAAACTGTGTCCCGTCCTGATTCCGGGCCAGAGTAGAAATCTAAATCCTGTCCCGTCTCCTGGTGAAATGACTCCCACTCCCATTCAGAATGACTCCCGCTCCTGTATTTACAATTATAAATACATAATAAAAGTAACAAACGAGGAAACAGACCATGCTTATCTTAGGTGAATAAAAAATCAAAAGTATCAAACTTTTCGAAGTCAAGTTCGCCACCAACTGTTGGTCCCTCCATTGTTGTTTTTGAGCGCGGGTGAAAAACTCAGAGCGGAAGCACTGTTGCTTTTTGGGTCGTGTCATTTTTTTTTGACTCGCATTATAGTGTAGGCTTCAAGGAAAAAAACTAGAAAATGGCGGCGCCAGTACTGGATATTATTTCTTTCTATGTTATTTTATAACATGTTCTATTCATTCACTGTTTTTGCAGCAGTCTGTCCTGCTTGCTACATACGCGATGTGCAACTCCAAAACGGACTCTTTGCAAGTGTGTGATTAACAGATTTTATTTTGTATTTTTCCCCAAAGCGGCTGTGTTTTACTTTGTAAAAGCATCACTCCTGTCAGACCCATTAAATTTGCTGCATAGTCTGAATTGCTGCGTACTCTGACTAAAATAATTCTGGGGGTCTAACTCAGTCAGACCTACGCAGCCCCCTTGATGAAATTGTATCCTGTGTGATCAACCCCAATGACTTCCAATGAGCACTAAACGTCACAACCTTGTCCGGCACGATTTTGTTTCAGATCGGCCACAAAATCTGATTCGGCGTGTTCAGGCCTTGAGGTTCATTCACAAACAGGCTAGGTTGAAAAGAATCTGTAATTTTCCTCTGTATTTCCAAGTAATTTAAAAAACACGACTGAAGCGGGGTTCCACCACTGGCTCATATGATTCCAAGATGCAAAAAGCAAAATAACAATAAAATAAAATGATTGAAAATAATCTGTTGGTCAGAATCTGTTGCTGCAGAAGCCATTTTTTGGTGAAAAATGGCTTCTGCAGCAGCCGAAACCGTGTCAGTAAACGTGGAGCCGATGTCGCAGACAGCCAGTCTAGTGGCTGCCGGGAGTAACACGCCGTGCCGGCCAGTACTAAAGCAGTGTCAGCCCGACGAGCCGCCGGAAGTGTTATGACGCTGCCACGGCCACAAATTGAACTCGGCCCTGCTGGCTTACTGATCTGTCTCTACCCAGGTCAAACGAGTTCAAATTGCCTCTGCACTGATTGGCATGCTGTGGGAGCACCAGAGCGGGGTTGAACTGCTAAATTACGTGATTTCATTGAGCGCAACACACGGGCGTCAACACACTGCTCCAGCTGCTTCTGAAACAACCCGAAACAACTCTATGGAGCGATATTTGAGTCTTCTGTTTGAGCACGCAGTGAGAAAAAAGTGGTCTGGGGCATGATCAACACAGAAAAAATTTCTTCTCAAACCACTTTCCCTTCGCTCAGTTCCATTTCTGCGCGTAGCTCGACCTGCTCTTTCCATGCTTCATAGCCGTGTTTTCTGCTCTGTTTATTTGCTCGCGACTTCATAAATTTATGTAAATGAACCACACAATCAGCCAATCACTCTCAGCTTTTTTTCATCCAAACAAAGTGTTTGTTGTAAATACTACATCTGGGTTGATAACAAACTGCCAAAGAGGACTGATGGTGTCTGCTGTCTGAATGATTGTGTAACGAATTTAACGTTGAACTAGAATCAGAACAATGTAAACTGGGACAGACTTCTTCACTCCATTCTAAGGCCAATATGATCCAAAACATTTCTCCTGTGTAGACAAACTCCGATTGGCCGAATTTAGGTGTACAAGCGGACATATATCTAACAGGCCTGCATAAAATAACAAAAATAAGAAATGTTAGAAATTTTCTAACTTTTGGGACATTACAGTCTGATAAAGAGTTCCCTTTTATACATGTTTAAGCCAGAATGATTTAAAATTTAAATAGGACTTCCCTACAACTTCAAATGGCCAAGCTCCATCTTATATCAGAGATCTGATTGTTCCTTATGTTCCTAACAGAGCACTTCGCTCTCAATCTGCAGGTTTACTAGTGGTTCCTAGAATTTCTAAAAGTAGAATGGGAGGCAGATCTTTTAGTTATCAGGCTCCTCTACTGTGGAACCAACTACCAGTTTTAGTCCGTGAGGCAGACACCCTTTTTGGTAAAGCTTATAGATGGGGTAGCTCAGATTATCCTGAGCTATTTCTTTAATTATTCTTCTACAAGTTTAGACTAGAGTTTTTGTGGGTGTATCATCGATATAAGTGGTCCTCCTAACAGTCAACTATTCTGGTGATATGTTAACATAAGGCTGTCAAAAACTCAAAAAAGTGCAAATCTTCTTTGGGAATGTAAGCTACTGTATCGTGTATTCATTTCAGGTCCAAGTTTTTCTCATCTCTTCCATGGTTTGTTTGTTGTAACAATGTCGTAGCTATCCTGCAACGGTTCGCTGAGGCAAATATGATAGGCCTTTTATCCTGAAACTGGTTGAGTTCGCCAGGCAGTTGGGTCACACTAGAGTTTCGCTGGAGAAGAACTGAGACCAGCAATTCAGCCTGATTTAGATTTCATACTGACCCAAGTGATATTGGTATGTGTGTTGCGATAAGATACATGTCACGACGCTTGGATCAAAATATGACATTGCGATATTTTTCTATCAAAATGGAATGTATAGATAAAAAAGCAAGTTCTGTATATGTTCATCAGGATCCAATTTGTTTGGGGGTCTGAGTCAGTCCATGTCTTCTTCTGTGACTGCCTCAAGTACAGATATGGTGCTGCACTGCACAGCAAAAAGGGCTCCCCAGCGTATGTAGGTGAGGAGGTAGCCCATTTCCCCCCACTGTTTTAGGTTTTTATATATATATATTAGGGATGGGACGATTTATGAAAACCGTCCAAACCGTTCAGTTCGACTGTCTCGGTTTGGTTCGCGTGTGTTTCGTTCGGTTCATGCGCTGCTCCTTTTTCTCATAGGCGACCAAAGCCAACCACCAGTAGTAAACAAGAAGAAGAAGAAGCGAAGCAGCGGAGCCGGGTGTAGCAGGGAAAAAAATCAGTTGTTGTGGAGAATTGTGTGGGTATGGCGAGTGGGAAAGAACAGGAGTTGGAAGACACGCCAGCAGCACTTTATAGGTCTGCTGTATGGGACCACTTTGCATTTAGAGTGACCTACGATGACGGCGGAAAGAAAGTTGCGGATAAAAGTGCAACAGTGTGCAAGCCTTGTGCAACACGTTTTGTTTATGCTAACAGCAACACGACCAACATGTCATGCTAACCCTGAAATCCCTCATACTCCGTCAGAATCCCCCGCTGCCCTCCAGACCGGCTGCTCAAAGCAAAGCCTACAGCCTCCACTGTGGCTCCCGTCCGCTCCCCTCTGAGTCCCTTGGAGATGGTAGAGAGCATGCGCCAGATGATTAAATTCAAAGCAGCAAAACATACGGAAATGATCCAGGGTTTCCGCAGATCATTTAAAATAATTACAATCCATTATTTTTGGGGGGACCTTTTTCATTAATTTAATAAATTTTTATGGGATTTCAGTGTAACAATCAACATATACCGAATCGAACCGAACCAAAAACCGTGACCACGAAACCGTGAACAGAACCTTGGATTTTGTGAACCGTTCCACCCCTAATATATATATATATATATATATATATATATATATATATATATATATATATATATATATATATTTTTTTTTTTCCTTCCTCAAATCAATATTAGGAAATGAAGAATGGAGATCATATTGGGCAGTCAAAAATCCCGATACGTGGGGATTTAGTTCAACACCACTAAATGTGACCAAATTTACGGTAAGATGGATTTAAAGCTGTGGGTGTGAAAAGACCCTTAAAATCAAGCTAAGAGAAAGCTAGGACGCATACAAGAAGAGGCTGGAAAACAAACGAAGATCACAGGCTTCAAGTTAAAGAATGATCAGACAGATGGAAGTCTGGACAGAGCTGTTGTGAAGGAGAATAAGCGGAGCAGATTACTTGCTGAGGGAAGCAGAAGTCTGATTGACAGAATAGTTGTTTTATTGTGGTGATTGCAGCATTAACACTAGAACTCCCACCGCCGTCATTTTGATGGTTCTGAGAATTTAAAGGGAAAGAAATATATTTAAAATTAATCTTATGTTGCTCATGTTAACTGACCTTTTCTGTTTCTATATTTCCTTCATTTTTCACGTAGTTAAAAAAAAATTTTGAACGTAAAAAATAAATATGGTTAATTCTACCTTGATCTCCCATAGCCGTCATTTTGACAGCTCTATTAGCTGCTTTGTAAATTCTTTCTGTGGTTGATTGACATTCGGTACCGTTGCCTAGCATCCAACATTCTACCTAAAACTCTTTGGCTAATACGGAAAAATGGCTTTAAGAATAAACCTAACAGCGAAACAGGCTTTAGAAATGCTTCAAAATATTGATGATAGTGATTCAGGTGGAGGGGGAGAGACCGATGAGGAGGACTGGGAAGGAAGCGGCTCAGATTCTGACAGCGAGTCCGAGATGATCAACCATCCCCAGGAAATTGCGAATCTTTTGTTCAAGCACTGCCCACACCTCTGCTGTTACACTCAGCGGCCCAAAAGCCAAACCAGAGCCCGCAGTCTACTATAACCACAGGTTGGCGTGGATGTGTCGGATCAGATGATTAGAAAGGATTCTGTAAAAGCTATGACACTGTGGCTGTAATTTATGATCTCCTGAAAATATCAGCTATAAACGCATTGGTTTTGCTCAGGAGCTGTTTGAACGTCACTTTTTTTACTCAAAGATTTTATCCTTGTACTGGTAAAACAGTTGCAGGCAAACCGCAGGTTTCCAGCCCCTCCGCCGCTGAAGAGCAGCTTTGGCGAGGGACAGAAATTGGCGCCAGGAGCTTCAGCGCTGCATCAAAAAAGCTCATCTTACGTTAGTCATGAATGTGAAAAGTTGGTCTGTGGGAAATGTTTGCGGGGAATCAATCAATTTTATTTAAAACTGTATTTTCAAACTTTTAACCTGAGTAGTAAAACAGTCTTACTCTACGGATTTATTTTTGATATAAATTTAGAACACAAATAATAGCATACAATACAGCCTTTGAAAACTATATATTAGACCTGTTTTAAGGTTTACATATCCACAATGGGTCTATATCGCAACTAGAACCATTTCAATTGATGACATCATCACTACTCATGCGTTTTATTGGGAAAAATGTCACCCGTCAAATTGACAGCCAGTGGGAGTTCTAGTAGGATAAGAATCACGGGAGTCCCAGTGTTAAAGAGCTGTGCACTAAATATTAACAGTACCATCAGTTTTAAAAATCATTCTGTTGAAGTATGATTAAAATGTTCGGTCTGACTTTCATTTGTTCCTTACATAGAATTTTTAGTTATTACTTTTATTATATTCAAGTTATTTCAATTCAATTTCAATTCAGTTTATTTCTATAGCACCAATTCACAACACGTGTCATTTCAAGGCACTTTACAGTTCAACCAGATCATCCAGTCAGATTGATACAAAGTTTTCTATCAAAGGAAAACCAGTTGATTGCATCGACTCAAACACAATCCCTCACACTAAGCATGCTTATAGCGACAGTGGAGAGGAAAAACTCCCTTTTAACAGGAAGAACCTCAAGTAGAACCAGGCTCAGTGTGAACGGCCATCTGCCGAGGCCGACTGGGGTTCAAGGAGACAGAAGCAGAGATACAAAAGCAGCTGCAAAAGGCGGCTCTAGCTAGGAAACACACAGCCAGGCAGACGAGCTCCGAGCCAGCTCCCATGTCAGAGGATGAAGAGAGCACATCCAGTTAGTCACGGTCAGAGAAACAGGACTACACTGGAAAACAGGCCCGATCTCCAACATCTATAAACAAGGGTGTTGATGGCAGCAGCACAGCTGATATTTCTCTTCAGGATGGAGTCGCAGCCAAACAGGAACAGACGAGCCAAAGCTACTCTGAGAGAGCAGAACGTTAGAGATTGAACTAACAGATTCTGCAGAGTGGGAGAATAGAGATAGAATGAAGCAGAATGATGAAAAAGGGGTCCCTATGTCCTCCAGCAGTCTAAGCCTATAGCAGCATAACTATAGAGATAGCTCAGCATATCCTGAGCCACTCTAACTATAAGCTTTATCAAAAAGGAAAGTTTTAAGCCTAGCCTTAAAAGTAGACAGGGTGTCTGCCTCACGGACTAAAACTGGTAGTTGGTTCCACAGGAGAGGAGCCTGATAACTAAAAGATCTGCCTCCCATTCTATTTTTAGAAATTCTAGGAACCACTAGTAAACCTGCAGATTGAGAGCGAAGTGCTCTGTTAGGAACATAAGGAACAATCAGATCTCTGATATAAGATGGTGCTTGGCCATTTAAGGCTTTATATGTGAGAAGGAGGATTTTAAATTCTATTCTGGATTTAACAGGAAGCCAATGAAGAGAAGCCATTTCTCTGCGTCTTCTGGATTTTTCTTTAATTAAACAAGTGGTACCAACACACTTTTGCACATGTCTATTTTCAGACCAAAAATATTCTAATCCAACTTGAAAAACCCAATATTAAGCATGAAAATGACCATAGATCAGTGGATTGACAAATGCAGATATGATAGCAGATGTGCGTCTGTATTTAATGATGCGTCCATAAAATTTTTGAATTCTTTTTTTGTAACATTCAAACCTACCATTAGTACAGTTTTCTAGATTAGTGCAACATAACCTATTGTTACATACCTCGTTAGAGTATTTGAGCTTCTCTTTTTCGCATATTTCTAGCAGACGTTCTTCTTGGATCTGATTGGCCAGAGGTTTGAAACGAAACTTAGAACATCTGGAAGTGAGAGGCTCAATGATCCTACAAATAAAGAGAGATATGACATGGTTGAATGATCACTGTTATCCAGTTTGGGGGGGGGGGGGGGGGGGGGTGTCAATTAGACCTCCATCTGACCTGCTGATGTAGTTACAGATGAGACAGAAGCGCGTGGTGCGAGATTCCTTCTCCATCGTTCGTCTGAGAGCAGCTTGTGCTGGAGCCGTCATGGAGTCAGCCTCATCCAGGATGATTATCTTAAAAGGGGGACACATCTTCCCACTGAAAAAAAATAAAATAAAATGACAGCCCTGACAGATTGGGAAACGCTCATGAACTGAAGTCACTTTAATAGGACGATTTTACTTGACATGAAGATGGTGTAAGAAAGAAAAGAAAGAATCAATGTGAATACTATAAACCCCCGCCTCACAGCTAAAACATCTGGAGACCTCAGCCTGAAACAAAACAACACACCAATAGTATTTTAGACTATTAGATTTTTCCGGAGCGCAAACTTACTCTGGACGAGTCCCAGCCACCGTCAGCTGAGCAAAGTTCTTGACCTTCTCTCTGATGACCTGAATGCCTCGTTCATCCGAAGCGTTCAACTCCAGCACCCTCTGCCGGAACAACTCTGGTCTGAGACAAGTGAAAAGGGGCTGAATGAAAAACAACAAGCTAGATAACTTTCTGATACTGCAAACACTCTAAAGCTTTACCTTGATAAAGATTAAGGACAGGTTACTTACCCATAAAGCTCTCTGGCAGCAGCTAAGATAGTGGAGGTCTTTCCTGTTCCAGGAGGGCCATAGAAGAGCAGATTTGGAAGCTGAATTTAAGCAGAAATCTTGTGAATCCAAGATGAAAATGGAGCCTCAGATATTTATACATATATTATCATCAAGATCAAAGGACACATCATTGAAGATTTTGGACAGAGAGGACAGACAATTTCAAAGAGGAGTCAAGGAAGCCATTCTTATTAAAAGTGAAAAGCCATTACTGAGCAGAGAACAGGCTATTTGAAAAGCACTTGGAATGCTTTATTAATGTTATTGTTTGGTAAAGCAGAAGAAAAAGCAGAGGAAGTTGGCAAGTTAAAGGATGTGCAACTACAGCTAGCTGATGGCAACAGCTTATAACAATTTGGATTATTTTCAGGCTCTAAAAGGAAGAGTGCTTAGTGCGCATTACATTGTTTTGTGTGTTTATTGTATCATTGGTATGGTATGTGACAGGGGTCCTTTAATGAGATCGATACATTTGTTTAAATCAACAGAATGGCTGAAAGGTTTTCAGTGACTGCACATTAAATCTGAATTATTTAGAAAGTTAACACACTGGAGTCAGCTGACACAGTAATCACACCCCACTGAACACCAGCCTATCAAACACTACATTTTACTGCAGGGGTTGAAGTTAAGGATTTTTACCACTTGCCCTTCAGGCAAGTGACTTTCACATTTCATTTGCCCAGAACCAATTTTTACTTGCCCAGTATAATGTTTAATAAATATAGTTCCTAATATTCATTTTTGTATATATATATCAATGAAACATGTTTGTTTTTTGTAATTCAGTATTTTTTAAGTTTCCAGGTTCCTGGTGTGTATATGCATGCGTCAGATAATGAACTCAAGCCTACATTACCGAGTTAACGTGCTTTTCAATCCTTCCTGCACATTCTTTTCAAACTAAACTTTGCTTTTAACTGCTGTGTGCTTGGAAAAATATAAATTGTAATGTTAAAAATCTAAAAAAAAAAAAAAAAAAAAAAAAAAAAAAAAAAAAAAAACTTGATAGGTTAAAATTATGCTATATAATATCAGAAATGTGGGTGACTGCTGGAGGGTGGGTGAAATAGATGTTATGTGGATAGTAGAAGGTGGCTAATGGGTGAAAAGGATGTTAGGTGAAAAGTGGAAGATGGGTGAAGGGTAAAAGTGGATGTTTAGTGAATGGATGAGGATGGGTGGTGGGTAAAGAGGATCTCCAATGCTAAGTGAGTGGTGGGTGAAATGGGTAGAGGATAAAATAGGTGGTGGGTGTTACTGTCCTTACATTTTTTTGCCTTGTTGTTTTTTAGCCTGCCAAGTCGGAAAATATGTGTCTGATTCGCGCCAATTCCCGGACAAAAATCACAGCACCTGGCGGAAAATCACGTGGCTTTTTCAAATCACGCGAGAATGTGTACAAAACAGCAAAAATGGCGCCGGCAACGCTTCTGGGTTGTTTTCATCGAATGACTGTGATTTTAAAGTAATTTTCGGTGATAATTTTTTTTTTTTGCGATCATTGCATTTGCAGTGCGGGCAAATGCAATGAAATTTGTTCTCTCCCAACAATAAAAACTACACGCCCCGGGAGATCAGGCAATGGTTAACATTGAGCCCTGAACCCTCTGAAATATTCTTAGCTAGAAACATTATGTCAAGCTTTTAGCCAATCACGACAGCAGTAGCAGCTTCTTTATTTGTTTCATGGAGTAAAATGATCCATCAAATTCTTACCAAATCTGGTTGGGAGGAAGATAAACTGGCATCACCATCCAAAAAGGCACAAAATCTTGCTCTTTTGCTGCTTTTTTCAAAAAGAAAAGGAGGCCATTCCAGCTAAAACCAGTGCAAGCATCTTTGTATTGCTTTAACCTTCTGCCTCTGGTTGGCGCCGTGACATCATGCACGTGTTTTCATGTCATTGTGTCGGCTAACAGTCAGTTGGCTTCCGGCATGATGTATTTACAGGAGTTTGTGAATTTACAAACCATCTTGCTTGCATAGTGAGCTCAGTATAGCACATATTTAAAAAGTATGGAGAAGGAAAAACTTACATCTGCTCCTTTGAGTGACTTCTTCAGCACGGCTACAACTTCATCCTGGAAGGCCACCTCATCCACAGATTTGGGTCTGCTGAAGTAAAAAACAAAAAATAAAAACAAAGTCCATAAAGATGGTACTAATACTGTTGGGGATAAACATGCTGCTAAGTGGGTGGACTTTACACTGTAGTGATTTATACATAGTTGCTGGAATATGGAGGAAAAACAGTCTTATTGGAATCTGCCTTTTTTTAACACCGAATTTTAAACACTGAATTCTTTTTACCAACGAATTTTAAACACTGAATTTTTTTAACACCGTATTTTAAACACTGAATTTTTTTAGACATTGAATTCCTTACACTCAATTTTTATCTGGTAAAAATTCTGCCAAGGCTCTTGGTTTGATCTGGAAGAAGCGGCTGGCCGCAAATTTTTTTTCTTCTTCATTTCGGCCAGAAGGAACATGGCGGCGGCAAACAGACAGGGGTGCCGTACTAGCTGTGATCGGCTCAGTTGTTTCACCCAGTCTAATAAGAGGAAAAACTCTAATAGCTGTCCGTTAGTGGCTAACTGACATTTTGTAATTCTATAAAAAAAATAAATAAATAAATCCTCATTCAGGCGGGAACAGCGCTGAGCCCAGCCGTTGTGTCACATGACCAAATGAGCTAATTTCATTGCTAGAAGCTGCTCGACTCTATCGAGTGTAGATTGCTTTGGCTTGAGTTCACCAAAAGGTCAACACTTTTGCAGCTGAATTTTTTGCAGCTGAATTTTTACCAGATAAAAATTGAGTGTAAGGAATTCAATGTCTAAAAAAAATTTAGTGTTTAAAATTTGGTGTAAAAAAAAATCAGTGTTCAAAAAATTCGGTGTTAAAAAAAGGCAGATTCCAATGAGACTGTTTTTCCTCTATGATGGAAATGCTAGACTAAACATGAAGTAGAGGAAGGTAAACGTTTCACAGGTGTTCTTTCTGCATTTGGTCACAGAGGTAAAGATGAGTTTTGGACTGCAGACTTACTATTTTTCTACCCAGGGAATGGCTTTGGTTTTTTTCTCTGCACTCGGTCCAGCTGTTGACTTCTCCTTCTGAGGTTTGCTTGTCGGAAAATTTGCTCCTTTGAGAAAAGCCTGCATGATTCCTCCTAATTAGCAAAAGCAGAGAGAGCACTGTAAGAAAAACATGTGTATCCTGCCCACAGTCTACAGTCCATCTCACTGGATGATCTCTCTAAAGATTAGATTCAACTTTATTGTCATTACACAGGTACAGGTGCAAGACAACGAAATGCAGTTTAGGTCTAACCAGAAGTGCAATAGCAGCAAGTGCAGGATAAATAATGGTCCCATAAATACAGGACGTGAGTATTTCTATTGAATGAGTATATTGTTGAATACTATTATAAATAATGAATATAATATATAGATCACTAGTGTTATGAACTAAATTTACAGCTGGATATGTACTGAATATAATATAAGATGGATATTACTATATTTAAAAAAAAAGGTTTTTACAGTTATGTACAATAGCATAATATACAGATGGGTTTTACTATAAAATGAATAAATAGAGTTTGGACAGATGCTATCTAAATTAAAGTGCAGTGGAAGGTAATTGGATATTACAGTTAAAGTACGTTATTGGCTTTCAGATGGGCTAAAGGGCTTTCAGATGATATGTGTTGTGGATTGGGAGCATATTAAAAAACTAAGTTGAATACAGAGGTGTCTTTTAAAAACGTCATAATGCATAAAACGTCGAGATTAAAGAATAACATTAGAAGACAGAATAATTTTGATATTATTAGGATAAAAGGAACGCGCAAATCAGGTCAACTTCATCAAAGATGGAAAACAAATGTTTGGCTCGGTTTAGCATTAAAAGAAGAAAAAATGGGGGTCAAATATCTACACATACATCTTTTCACTGTTCTTGGCATCCTGCAGTAGCTGGTCTGTAACTAAATTATGTGGTAAGGTTTGAATTAGCTTGCTAACTAATGTAGCCATGGCGTCTTTCCTGTTAATATCATTACCAAACAAAGCGACCGGAACAGATATGTTTTGATCTTACCAGTAGGTTTTAAGACAGGAGATAAATACAGTTTAGAAACGACAATCTTTCCCAAGAGCAGCTTCTCAATACTCCGCGTTCCCGCCAGGAAGCATAAAGCAAACTTCCGCTGACGGCTTCTTCTTCTTCTTTTCTATTATGGCGGATCACAAGCAACTTTAAGGTGCATACCGCCACCTAGTGTACATGAGTGTGCAGCAACATTACTTTACATCAAATTCTATTTTTTTATTTTGTTTTCGGTAGTTAAATAAATAATGTTTTCCTTAATCTATAAATAGCCTTTATATTTCCTTCAGGTCCCAATATTTCTTTCAGACTCCATTCTTTGCCTGTCCTTCCAACCATCCTTCGCAATTTCTCCCTTTCATGTTCATAAGTTTTACAGCACATCAGCACGTGTTCTATAATTTCTTTTTCTCCACATCCTTCACATTTAACATTATTTTTCCTCCCTATGAAATATAAGTTGTCATTTAAATAGGTATGAGCCACTCTTGATCTGATCATTATTATTTCTTCCCTTCGGTTTCTCTCATTAATGAATTTATTTAATACTGATTTTTGTACCTTATATAATCCTCTTTCTTTCTTATCTTCTTTCCATCTCTTTTGCCATTTTCCCATTTCCTTACTCTTAATAAGTGATTTACCTTCCCCTTTCTCAAAAGGAATTTTAATTGCTTTTAGTTCCCTTCTCCTTGAATACTTTCTATAAATGCTTTGGAATCAGTACCTACCTCCACATAACCTCCTCTACCCATTGTAAGCTTGGTAAAATTGCCACCATTTCTGCTGTGAAAACAGACAGTCAATCTGATATTCTTTTAGAAATGTATTTTTCTGGTACTATACATACTGGTCTATATATTCCTATTCCCACATGTCATTTTAAATTCTTAGAACCATCTGAATATATTTTACGGTAGTTATAATATGAGTTTCTTAAATATATAACAGTCTTTATCCCTATTTCATTTAAATGAGATTCGGACTTCTGGGATCAATAACTCTTGTTGTTGAAACACAAATGGCGCCTCTTTCTTGTCCTGATACCACAGACTACGTATTACAACAATCAAAACAATCAAAAAGCGTTATGTTCGAGAAAAACAAGCCATTCTCCGAGCTGGATGTATTTTACATTGATCTCTATGCACAGGCAGCTGCCAGACCAGTGGTTAGGGACCGTCTGCAAATGGTAAAACAACAGCAAAACATTGCAAATAAAAATCAATAACTCCACTGCCATAAAGTGCAGAGACTCCAAAATCACCACACACACCAAGGGGCTCTTGGTGATCGCACTACAACAGCTGGTTTGGAAAAATACACCTTTTTTTTTTTTATATAATTTTTTTGTTATTATTAAGCATTAATATCATCCTATTTTAATCCATAGCTCTGTGATTATACAGTGCAGATACTCAAAAATCATCAAACAGACCGAGAGACTCCTGATGATCAAAATTCCCCATGTCCCCTAGGGGGCTCCGTAATAATGAGGTAATTTTTTATTTTATTTTTTACAGCGTGGCGGAAACGGGCTTCCATAAACAAGCAGTATGGTAGTAGTAGAAGAAGAACAAGAAGAAGAAAAAGAAGAAGAAGTGAGACAATCTTTATTGTTTTAGGTGGCGGTCGTTTGTTTTACATCTAACGGTTTCATGTCATCCTCTGTCTTTCTGTTCGCTGATAGTTAAGCAGTTCGTCTGCTGTTGCCATTTTCTGCTTTAGCATCCTGATAGAGACCAGTTAGCTTCCCAAATAACGGAGAAGCTAACACTGGGAGGAGGAGGAGAAGCAGACAGTTTCCTTTTCGAGAAAAACCCCGTAGAGTGAAAAGTGCTGGAGAAAATTAAGACATAATGAAGGTTTGATCTGTTCTGGAAGCGAGTGGAACCATTCCGACCATACAGGACCGTTTCTATGAAAAGCTTCGGCTCTCTGACTGCCTCTGAGGGACGGCGACATGTCGATGGGTCCGCCATATTGGGAGGGGAAACATCGGTCAGTAACGCTGCACTGAGCGCAGAAGCTTTGATTTAATTAGAATAAGCTCCCTGTAGGGTTTTTAATTTACTACTGAGTATCTTCTGAGTTAATACAGTTTTTACATACTGTACACTATTGTATAAATACTGTATACAGTATGTAGAGTATATGATATTCTTTGTTTTATTTACTTACTGTACTTATCCACCATGAACAACAAGAAATTGAAAACACAATCAAGTTTAAAAAATTTAGCTCTACTGGCTCATATTTAATAATGTGCAACTAGTTTTGAATGGTAGTAAACGCAGAACTGGTTGATTATTGCAAATTAAATCCTGTGTGTTCTGACAGGGGCGTCTTTAGAGCATTATATGGAGGGGGGTCAGCCCCAGGTAAGACATTTTTGTGGATGCTTAGTTTAAGGGCCCTGAGGAGATCGCTTTTACATGCAAAATGCTTCATATGGAGTTTATTTTGCTCATAAAACACTCACCAGTTTTGTAAATGTGTTACAGAATATGCTATTTCCTGACACCAGTGTCAACACAGCTCTGTCCCTGAACTGGACTGGCTATGATATCTTCTCATTCCTATTTGGTCGTCAGACCATGATAGAAGGAGACTTCCCAACCCTACACTTTCCAATGCTAATAGTAGTAACCAAATAGTATTGCTATGAAATCAGCTACTTATTCATGAGTTGGGTGAGTTTATTTATGCATTATGTCTCTACTGGCTTAAAGTAAGATCAGAGTTGCAACTGATGTTTAGATGTTGGTAGCCTGCTTACTAACGCTGTAACTAATGATTTTGTAAACCAATTGATCGGGTAGTTATTTTTTTAATTAACTGTTTAACATTTGGATAGCCAAAGGTTCTTAAATAACATTTTTTATGAATTTAAACCAGGTGAAATAAACCTTTTCCACTTGAGGAGTTCTGTATAGAACATATTGACAGATGTAAATTATTATTATTTTTTTATATATATATAAAAACAAAACTGTTTTCTCACCCCTCGTGGGGTGGTATGTGTCATCCTCAAGCTTGGGTCCTCTACCAGAGGCCTGGGAGTTTGAGGGTTCTGCACAGTATCTTAGCTGTTCCTAAGACCTCTGATGTTTTACCTGGAATCTGCTGTAGCCACTCTCCCAGTTTGGGGGTCACAGCCCTCAGTGCTCCAATTACCACTGGCACCACTGCTGCTCTTAGTTTCCACATCTTTTCTAGCTCCTCTTTCAGCCCTTGGTATTTCTCAAGCTTCTCGTGTTCTTTCTTCTTGATGTTGCTGTCGCTTGGGATTGCCACATCTATCACTACTGCCTTCTTCTGCTGTTTGTCGATCAACACGATGTCTGGTTGGTTAGCCATCACCTGTTTGTCAGTCTGGATCTTGAAGTCCCATAGGATCTTAGCTCGGTCATTCTCAACTACCTTAGGAGGTGTCTTCCATTTTGACCTTGGGACTTCCAGCCCATACTCATGGCAGATGTTCCTGTATACTATGACAGCTACCTGGTTGTGGCGTTCCATGTATGCACTTCCTGCCTGCATTTTACACCCCGCTGTTATGTGCTGTATTGTTTCAGAGGCATCTTTGCACAGTCTGCATCGGGGGTCCTGCCTGGTGTGGTAGAACCTGGCCTCTATTGATCTTGTACTGAGTGCCTGTTCTTGTGCTGCCATGATTAGTGCCTCTGTGCTGTCCTTCAGTCCAGCCTTTTCCAGCCACTGGTAGGATTTTTTGATATCAGCCACTTCTTCTATTTGTCTGTGGTATACGCCGTGCAGCGGCTTGTCCCTCCATGATGGTTCTCCTTCCTCTTTCTTGTCCTCATTTTCGGTTTTCTCCTGCCTGAGGTACTCACCAAGCCATTTGTCTTTGGGGGCCATCTTTCTGATGTACTCCTGGATCTTAGTTGTTTCATCCTGGACAGTGGTCTTGACACTCACTAGCCCTCGGCCTCCCTTGCTACGCTTGGTGTACAGTCTCAGAGTGCTGGATTTGGGGTGGAACCCTCCATGCATTGTGAGGAGCTTTCTCGTCTTGATGTTAGTAGCCTCTATCTCCTCCTTTGGCCAGTTTATTATACCAGCGGGGTATCTGATGACTGGTAGGGCATATGTGTTGATGGCTTGGATCTTGTTTTTCCCATTCAGCTGGCTTTTCAGGACCTGCCTTACTCTTTGTAGGTATTTAGCTGTGGCAGTCTTTCTTGCCATCTCCTCGTGGTTTCCGTTAGCCTGTGGCACCCCAAGGTATTTGTAGCTGTCCTGAACATCTGTTATGTGGCCTTCTGGTAGTTCAACCCCCTCGGTTCTGATCATCTTCCCTCTCTTTGAGACCATGCGACCGCACTTGTCCAGTCCGAATGACATCCCAATGTCGTTGCTGTAGATCCTGGTAGTGTGGATCAGTGAGTCGATGTCTCGCTCACTCCTGGCATACAGCTTGATGTCATCCATGTAGAGGAGGTGACTGATGATTGTTCCGCTTCGGAATTGGTATCCGTAGCCAGTCTTTGTGATGATCTGGCTGAGGGGGTTCAGGCCTATGCAGAACAGCAGCGGGGATAGTGCATCGCCTTGGTATATGCCGCACTTGATGGTGACTTGTGCTATTGGCTTTGCATTGGCTTATATATATATATATATATATATATATATATATATATATATATATATATATATATATATATATATATAATTTTTTTTTTTTTACATTTTCGTATAATTACTGCTCTTAGTGGTTTGCTCTGTCAGCTAAAAGCCTTTTTAGAGCCTTTATACTCCTGTTATTGATTAATTGATTACTAAATTAGTTGATGATTCTTTCAATAGTTGATTTATCTGATTAATTGTTTCAGCCCCACTGCTTACACTTGATCTACACAGCCTAGTCCTAAGCTGCAGAACCGACTGGTAACCTAAGATATCGTTGCATATTAATGCTTTCGTCCTGCAGGGAGAGAGAAGAAAATCAACCTTAGCTGACAGAAAGTGTTTAAAAACACTGAAAATACATTTAGGATTGACTTTAGGACATGATATCTTGTATTAAATGGTAATTTTGAACTGACATAAAACTACATAAATCGGTTATTTTATCTTCTGTTATTAAATTCAACTT